GGCATGTCTTTATACTACAGCACGCTAATCAGCGTGCGACTTGGCGCGCACACCCTAAACCCTAAAATCTAAAACCCGCCCGCCACCCCTCTCACTTCTGTTGGGGTAGGCGGGCGCAGCCGAGCGCTCAGCGAAACCAAGCAGGCTCTGCCAGAGCTGCAGAGCCTGCGAGCACACTCCTGAGAGGTCGCCAAGCTGTCATCGCCGAGCTAGATGTAATGTCTATGTTCTTACCCTAAACGCCATTTTCGGAAAGACACCCCCAATCCCAAACAAGTAGACCCCCCAATCCTCCACGGGTGGACGAGGATTGGGCCCCCCCCAATCCTTCACGGCTTGAAGCGAGCCTGAAGAAACCCTTCTAAATGGACGAGGACTGGGGCCGCTCTCCAACTGCACAGGGATTGAAGCCCCATGAGGCGGCTTCTAACTGGACAAGGATTGGGGTCCCAATCCTTCACGACTTAACAGGAGCTTTAAGAAAAGACAAAGCGCGACAACCCAGCCCAACTGCCGAGGCACCGGAGCTACACATGTTTTATGAGGCGAAGAATGATAGGAAGGACCGGTGTGACCTGACAGGGCAATTCACCGCCAGTGGGCAGTGCTCGCATTTGGCCAAGTCAACGCCAAGCCCGCTGACGCAAGTGCTGCAACTTTGGTCTTGGCGTGGGAATTTTAACGGCGGCACAGTGGCAGGCTCAGGTGCCGAGTTGGAGCTTTCAAACATGGAAACGTTGCGCGGGGACTGCAGAAATGCCTGGGCATTCAACTCGGTAAACGGCACATCTGCAACAAACGGAGGAGGCGACTCGGTCCGAACCGCATGGCCATTTGCTGGGGCGGCCCGCAACGCTTTGCAGTACTTGTTGGCAAGATTTTGGGCTGAAGCAACGTCTGACATGTGCCGTGCAGCCGGTTCCAAACAAGACGAAGGATGGCCAGCATCTGCAGCACGTTTCCGGCTGTGCTCACACAGCTGCACTTGTGCGCTGTATGTGCAATAATCTGACACGTGCAGGGGACTTGCAGACACTTCGACATAATGAGTATACGCAACCGCAAGCAGATTCGGACAGCCTTCCAAATCAGTACTCCCTGTCAACATTGTACGGACTGCATTACGAATTACGAGTAGCCGATATCGGCTTGGTCAACCCGGGCGCCAACCAACGCAAGTCATCCATTGCCCCAGGCCCAATGAAGGAGAAGTCTTCAGCATCTTGTTCGTAAGATGCATCCAAGATGTTGGCACCAGCCGGCAAATTCGTTTGCAGAGCTTGCTGCAATGCCAACGCATCCTGAGCAAAAAACTTGGCCCAGAAAGGACCAATGCCTGCAACATTCTCGGCCACAAATCTGCTCAAGCCACCCAACCCCTTCCAAAATTGGTCATCAATAGCGCTCTCAGCCGAACCCCAACTGCGAGATTGCTGCAGAAGGGCAGAAGACCATGCGTGCGGAATTTGGCAGATGTGGGAGTTGGCCTTCTCATCACGCAGGCAGGGTGGCAAGCCTAAGCGAGCGCAGCGGCAGCCTGGATCTCGCATGGTTTGAAGGCGGGGGCTCGAGGTTTCACTGGAACCGTGGCATGGTCGTCTTGCTTCCCTTGTCTCGTTGGTTTTAATTGAAATAAGCACGCATACCTTTGTCTTCTTTCAATTGAATAAACAAGGAACTCCCTTCAAGTCTTATCCTCTACAATCACTGGTCAACTTAGGAGGGTTCTAGGTTCGGTGGTTCATCCTGTTACCCGTTCCATTTGACGTAAACTTAACAAGGGAAATGTAATGGACGTAAGGAAGCACGATTTCCCTTATTTAGTTTGGTTCAAATTCCACTCATTCCTGTCACCTAGAGATATAAAGTAAAGATATGAAGAGAATAAAAGAACCTAAATTCAAAGAACAGAAACACAAAGAAATGCGTGGTTTTTGCTTCATTTAAATTTTGGCTCTTTTATGAACGAAATGTTGTGTTCTTTTGTTTGGTTCGTTTCGTGCTTATGTTAACTTCATTACAAACGAACCCCAAGAACACAGTGTTTCGTTCCTCTTCCTAACCTACTGTAACTCCTCCTTTAATGTGAAGAGAGCACTTCGTTTATAATTAAGTGAAAGAAGATAACGAAAGCACGTCTATTTCAATTAATGAAAACGAAGTGGAACGAAACAACCAGCAAGAGAAAGGGATTACAACTATAGGATTCTATCATTGAATTCTTCCTATAATATTATAAGAGGATTCCAGTAGAAATATATGACCTAAAAATTAATGAAATTCCAATAGTATAAGAGATCTCCTGTAAAGTTGAATGCGGCTTCCAACTGGACAAAGATTGGGGCCCCCAATCTTGTGCCGGCTTCAGAGAGGAGGGTTGGGGCTTGAGGAGGTTTAGGGTCGACCGCTCTTCGCGCTTCTTTTTGAGAGTTTGGCCCTACTGGGTCTAGGGATGCATCTTTCGAGCGTAAAAATAGAAGCCAGAAAGCTGGAACGGCATTTATCCTCATGCCGCTCGCATAAACTGTTTTAAAACAAGAACCTTCAGTAATTATCCTAGACCCACGCTCCAACTTCTTCGATGCTCCTGCGCCAAACCCTGCACCAACAAAACCGAACCAACCGCTAAAACCTAACCCCAGATCTCTGGATTCCTGTTGGCACCCAGCGTCCACAACAAGCCCGGCCAGGCTCTCTTCGAAGCATGCCTTGGATCCATTTGGGGCTTTACGGCCAAAGCGTAAGGAAAATTTCGGGGGCCCTCTCTAGGGCTTGTGGGGTGCAGGGTTTGGGGTTGGAGGCCTTTTTTTTTGCACGCCTTCCTCCATGACCTTGAGCACTGGGGCTTCAGAGCCTTTTGCGCTGAGGATTCAGGATTCGAGGCCTTCGTGGGGAAGGCCGGGAGTGTCCTGGGTAGTTCTCTAAATCAGGAGATAACCGAAGGGGTATATCACTCTTGTAAGAAGGACCTGACAAACGTATCGTCCACCCCGGTGCTAGTCTCGATGCATCCAAGTCGCAATGCCTATGCAAATCCTCGCACGAGACTTGAAACCTGAACCGCAAAACAGAATGTCAAGCCGCGAGACTCGAAATCAGAAACTCTACACACCCAAAGAACGCAGACCAGGACAGGAACGTATTGATTTGTTGGGATTCCTTCAAACAGATATATGATAGGTCTCTCCTAATACACTCCAAAAGCCTAGTCTAATTTCCGACGCCCCGCTGCTGTACCCTACACTCTCCACCTCTGGGCTTGCCCGGACCATTAGTCGGCAAGTTGCAGGGGGCAGGGCATCGGGCTGGCAACGGAAGTCCAGATCCATGGCCCACAGGAGCCATGGGAATCATGGCTCTCGGATTCACCCACAGGGGGGTCGAAGTTATGAGGAAAGGGGCTGTGAATTGTGATGATACCGATAGCAAAAACTTGACAGGGAGGAGGGCTACTACTGTCTAGGCCCCTACAGTAGTCTGGATCGTAAACCTTGAACCGGTATAGGTTTAGGGTTTAGGGTTTAGAGTTATAGAAGTGTTTCGAGATGAAGGCTTGAAGGTGTGGAACCGTAGCACGGAGCACTCGGAGTTGAGTCTGCAGGTTTGAGAGTCTAGCAATTAACGCTAGCTAAAGGGAGCCCACAGCCCCACCCTAAACCCTAAACACCCACCACCCCCTAAAAGCCTAAACCATCGGGTGTCGGGACTCAGATTCCTCTAGCAGTAAGGTTTAGAAGAAGGCCTTACCCTAAACCCTAACCCCTAAAACCCTAAACCCCTAGACCCCTCAACCCCCTAAACCCGAACCCCGAAACCCCAAATCCCTGAGCCTTTGGATCCCCGAGGTTTAAGAGGAGCTTGAGCCTGTGTTGGGGCTTTGGGTCGGAGTTTTGGGGGGGCTTCGGGTGCATTTCGGGCATGGTTTGAAGTCCCACTGGAGTTTAGGGTTTAGGGTTTGGGGTTTAGGACTTAGGGTTTCGGGTTTTGGGTTTTTGGGCTTACGGCTTCCGGGTCAAACCCTCGAGGGACTTGACCGCTCCTTGGGGCAAAGCAGCTCGGGGACGTCATTGCACAGGTCGGCTCTCCACGGCAATCATCTCCCCTAAACCCCAAATCCAGTACCGTAGAAAAGTTTAGGGTTTAGGGTTTAGGGTTTAGGGTTCAGGCCGCTCAGTCAACCAGTGGCCGCCAGAGCTGAACTTGAATCGCCGCACACATGCGAGAGTTTGCGCGCGCAACCGTGGTCGAGCAGCACCACTGCTCGGAATAACCAGTCCTGATCTTCTTGTGAACAGCCGGAACGAGAAACAGCAACAATACCCAGAGCCCCAAATCTTAACCCAATCTGAAACCCGGAGGGCGGAATCTGGAAGGAATATCCCTCAAATAAGACAGCTGTAAGCAAAACCCTTCAGACCCTAAACCTTCAACCCTAAACCCTCAACCTATCAACGTTCAGCCCCATCTCGTTGTGTGGGGGGGCCAGGGACCGAGAATCCCACCGAAATTCGAAACCTCCAGCCCGAAGCTGCGAGTGAATCTCTAGTGTAGGAGCCTTAATAATTTGAACAGGGTTTTGGGGTGTGATCGGACAAGAAGTCTGTTCGGGGAAACGAAACTAAAGGACTTGTGCCGCATCTGTGATTTTCAAGCCGTATCCGTGTTGGAGATCAGCTTTTGGAAATAATATCCGTGATGACTTTGATCATCGAATCAAGCTCAGAATGCCACGCGTCAAGTACGTCAAGTGAGATTTCGGAGGCAGCAGGACATTTTCGGCTTAGATTAGAAGGAACAGTCGAGAAGTGCAACCTTTTGCGGCAATGAACACATTGTTCATCGTTAGCCCAGCAAGGCTTAATCAAGTGGGTGCACGACGGATTTTCAAGTATTTGTGATCACCTAAAAGACTCAACCGCGTGCTGAAAACGTGAAAGTCGTCTCAGCGCAGCTTTGAAGAGAGATCGAGGGCCAGGTCTGTGTGGTAATCTAGCTCGCATTTAATCAGCTGTAAGTTTACTCCACGTGTCAAGAGGTAGCTGAGTAATGCATTTAACTTTGATGTCAAGCGGGATGCGGTTGACTTTTAGGTCATTGACCAGAGCAATCCAAGGTGGCGGCTTGCCTTGAGCATACAAACGCGGTAAAGCCCAGTTTTTGCTGATCATTTCGTTGCGAAAGATTGGCTGCTTGTCGGTGTAGGCCGCACAAAATTCAGCGGGAGTAATGCGCAGCACATGTGTGTTGACTTGTTCTTCAATTTTGTGCTCAATGAAGATACGCTGTAACTTCATAGCAGCATCAACAAGATTCCACTGGGAAGTGTAGAAAATAGTAGACGGAAACGTGCTCTCTTTCGGAAAAGTGGGAAGCCATCTAATTTTCTTCCGCAGCATCATTTTCGAGATCGGGGAAGTCATCCCGGAAATCCTGATCTTTAAGAAGGTTGCGTGACAAGAGTCGAAACTTGTAGGCAGCCATGCCCATGAACTGACATTCGTGAAGGAACGAGGAAAGATGGGTTTTGGGGTATATTATGCCATAAGTATGATAAGGAACCCCCAAAATAGTACAGGTAATTGTTGAAGCCCCTATATCACCCCAGCTCCTGAGAATCGTAAAGTCTAATTAAACGTAAGTACTCGTCGATGATGAAGGACGAGTACTCAAGAACTGTTTGAGTCAGTGTTGCCACCCTAAACCCTAAACCCTAAACCCTAAACCTAAACCTAAACCCTCCTGGACCCAAACTCCGGAAAACCCGTTGGCCGCCTATTGACCATGGCACAATGCACATCCTCAGCCCGCACAGCTGTGCCGGAGAGCGCCTGCTCTAAGAGAGACTCGGGGCATTTAGAAGAGGTTTAGGGTTTAGTTTTATGGAGGTACAAACACCCGACCTGTGTCTGTCTTCCCAGTAGTCTGTATCAATGCGTGCGTGCATGCCCGGCAGGTAGGTAGGTGGGTGGATAGGTAGGCAAGCATAGAAAGAAGGCATGCAGCCACCCACGCTTCCACCCACCCACACCCGGTCAAAAAAAAATACGCGGACACAGTTGGCAGCATTGGCTACCTTGTTGAATGTGACCATTGTACGATGCAGGCCCAACATCCGCACCTGTAGACACTTCATACACCCAAAACCGAAACCGAACCCCAAACACAACTGTCAAAACCCGAACCAAACCCTAGACCCCCAACACCCCGAGCACTAATCCAAAGCCCCGAGACCAAACCCCCGCCCTCAACCCCAAATCCACGAAGCTAAGAACCCTACCTTCAATCAGGAAAAGTCCTGAATTGTTGACGAAAACATCTTGTTTGACCCTTCCGACCGGCATAGAGATTCCATAAAATCCGGCAAAAAACCCTCCAGAACGCTAAACCCTAAACCCTAACCAAAAAGATTCAAAAAAGGCCAATCACACTCCTCCCATCAAAGCCTCCAGCTCCTGTGCAAACCGCTCTCCAGCCCCAGGTCTGACCGAAGCCTCCGAAAGGAGCGCCCCAAGAGCCGCAAACTTAGAGTTTAGGGTTTGGGGTTTAGGGTTTGAGGTTGTTTTCTTTTGAACTCCGTCTTCCGCCTGCAGTACTGACTCTGTTGACGAAAGGTCCATGGACTTCGCGAGCCCAACGAAAGAGCCTTCAGCCCTTACCAGCATCCGAGCTCCCACAAAACCGTCGTAGACATTCAGCTGCCACCCTCGTCAAGTGGACCCCTGATCGAAGGAGCATCCAACGAACTGCTGCACGCCCTAGCCGTCTGGACCAACCCCAGCACTTCCTCCCCGTATAGACGAAGGAAATGCTCCTCACTGAAATCCTTCGCCTGAGCCGGCTGTGCCACCAGTGTCAAAGTCACATCCTCAATCACTGTCGTAGTGCCCCCCGAAGGAACACGAAGCTGCCCGTCAGCCAGCCCTACGCCTGCCGGCTGTGTGGCTCCGTCCATAGAGATATGGAGCGCAGCATCCCCCGGAGCGGAAGCCGCAAAGTGCGACATGGCCGATCGCTGCTGCTGTTGTGTACGGGGCGGCTCGCTGGGTTGTGACTTCGTGCGAAGGCCAGCCAGCTAATCCATCTCCCCTGCATTTGGACTCGGCTCTTGAGGCGAACCCGCCGCCCCAAGAACTCACCATTGCTCGGCCCCCACATCAAGATCCGACTCTTCCTCCAGCAAGGGGGCTGAAGAGCATCAGTGGAGCTCGCTGGGGGCTCGCTCAGCCCCTGCGCCTGACGAGAGCCGGGTGAAGAGGTAGGGTACCGTGGCAGCTTCATGCCCATTGCATCGATCACCTCGTCTCATCAACATTACACTGTGCCCACTCATCACCATTAGATCGCCCGAGAAGGTCGCGAGCAGGGCTGTTAACATGCCGACATTGCCATGCTCATGCGCCGAGTAGTAGCCCTGGATCGCATTCGCACATCGATAACTCAGCCAGTCCAAAAGCCATGCGGCCGTACCCTGCTGGGCGGTCTTGCTTTGCCCTTCGAGGTCCGCAAGCAGCTCCTGCAGAAGCGTCGTTCGCCGGGCCTCTTCAGGTGGCACATTGACATTCACCATGGTCGCCGCATCCCTAGCCGAGACCACAACCTGAATTGCCTCACCCTCGGCTGCTAACAGGTGGGTGCAGCACCATCCGTTGAATCGCAAGCATTAGGGTCTGGCGGTCCTTTGCCCAATGCTCCAAGTATGTGTCCCGACACTGTCGGCCAGCGAACGTGGCAGACAACCTGTCCCGATGGGATCATCGGTCAACCACTGCATCCAAGGTCAAATGCATAGCAGCCGTTCGTGCTGTAGAAGCCGAGCTCGGGTTGGCCGTCGCCCCCTCCAGGCGTGGCAGGGCAGGAGGGTTTCACACCGAACGGCCCTCGTTCTGTGGTGCTGTCTAACGAACCACTTCAGAAATCTTTCATGCTTACGCCATCGCGAACAGTCTGCCAAGAAGCTGATCACGCCGAACGTCGTTAACAGTCTCTCACCACCCGGCTTCTTGCGCAACGCGCTGCGTCAGGACCCTCTCCTCGCACGGGTGATACGGAGATGGCAACTTTGTCCAGCCGGACATCTGGCAAGGCCAGCGCAGACAGGATTCCATCGTAGCGAGTCGCTTCTCGTCTTGCACCCCTCTCTTTTGGGTGTTTGACTTCTTGTGCTTCTTGGCCTGGCTGTCCACGGGCTTGTCCACGCTTGAGGCTCCGGTAGACGTCGGGTCATCGGTAAAACAGTATCCCCGCCGTCCTTGGCTTCCGAACCGCTACCTGGCTGTCCACGGGCTTGTCCACGCTCGAGGCTCTGGTAGATGTTGGGTCATCGGTGTATCGGTATCCTCGGCATCCTTGGCTTCCGAAGCTACCTGGCTGTCCACGGGCTTGTCCACGCTTGAGGCTCTGGTAGATGTCGGGTCATCGGAGTATCGGTGTCCCCGCCGTCCTTGGCTTCCGAACCGCTACCTGGCTGTCCACGGGCTTGTCCACACTCGAGGCTCTGGTAGATGTCGGATCATCGGAATATCGGTATCCCCGCCGTCCTTGGCTTCCGAACCACTACCTGGCTGTCCACGGGCTTGTCCATGCTCGAGGCTCTGGTAGATGTCGGGTCATCGGTATATCGGTATATCGGTATCCCCGCCGTCCTTGGCTTCCGAACCGCTACCTGGCTGTCCACGGGCTTGTCTCGAGGCTCTGGTAGATGTCGGGCCATCCGTATATCGGTATCCCCGCCGTCTTTGGCTTCCGAACCGCTACCTGGCTGTCCACGGGCTTGTCCACGCTCGAGGCTCTGGTAGATGTCGGGTCATCGGTATATCGGCATCCCCGCCGTCCTTGGCTTCCGAACCGCTACCTGGCTGTCCACGGGCTTGTCCACGCTCGAGGCTTTGGTAGATGTCGGGTCATCGGTATATCGGTATCCCCGCCGTCCTTGGCTTCCGAACCGCTACCTGGCTGTCCACGGGCTTGGCCACCCTCGAGGCTCTGATAGATGGCGAGTCATCGGTATCCTTATCGTCTTTGGCTTCCACAGCTACAGCGCTGGCTTCCGCTTCCTGGCTGTCCACGGGCTTGTCCACGCTTGAGGCTCTGGTAGATGTCTAGTCTAGTCATCGGTATCCTCAGTGTGCTTAGCTTCCGCAGCTACAGCGCTGGCTTCCGCTACCATCTGTAGGTACGCGTTCTCCGCTTCCTGCAACAGCTGCCAAAAGCGCCTGGATGCAGAGGCATTTCCGGCATAGTCCACATCACAGGTGTGCAGCACCTACTGGCCGGCAAGAACTTCGTGGTGGCGCAAACCTTATCTTGATCAGCAGTCTGCCTGCGAATCTAATTCGCCAAGGAACAGCTTCAGTTGCACACTTAGAGTGCTTGAGCCGGCAGCCTGAGGGTTTGGGGTTTAGGGTCTTTTAGGTTTAGGGTTTTGGGTTTAATTTAAGGTTTAGGGTTTTAGGCTTAGCAAGGGTTCCAGAGGGGTTCTATAAAGGTAAGGTTCCTTAAGGGCTCCGCAAGAATAGAGTTCTACAAGTGTTCGAGAAGTTCCATGAACACGTTAGACAGACAGGGCTCTATAAAGGGTACCACAACAGCTCTGCACTATGAAGGTTTTTGAGGCTTTTGTCAGAGCCCAAGAGCCTCAAATTGGGATTGTGTCGAGTTTTGTATAGTTTTGCAAAAGTGTTGCAATGGATGTTTTGGGGAGTGCTGTTCTGGAATTTGCCTCTGGTATACGATTTACTAATGTTGCTATGGGTGTCCCGAGCCCCTACGAGCCGTTAATTCATAAGCACACTGCAGAGGCCTGAATGACAAGAACATGGTTTTGTAGGCTTTCGCAAGGTTTCTCCAATGACTTACATGGTTTTTGCCGAGCTTTCAGTATGCCTCGCAGTAACCCTCAATGAAACCCTGAACCCCGAATCCTAAACCGAAAACCCCACCAACAAAAAAAAACAGACTCGCTCTTTGAGGATCTTGCCCTTCTCGGGATGTAGAGTTTGGGTCTAGAGACTAGTGACTAGTGGCGCACAGTGACTTCCAGAGTCTTGGAACATGGGGTGAAAGATGATTCGTGCTGGGGTTCCGTTTACCTCCTGAAGGGCTGGAGGACCATTACTGTTGATGATATAACTATGGGAATTATGGTATATCCCGATTATGGGTAATGCAGGATTTATATCATCAACCGTATGTTTCAACTTTCCGGAAGTTGCTGCAGGCTGCGGGATCTAAAGACCCCTACTGAAGACTGTATTGACGCAAGTGCAGCCGAGTCTCTGTGAGCGAATCGTGGTGGGATGTGTGTCAACATGGCATAGTGGTCAGGCTGCGGGTTTAGAAACTTGGCGATTCAAACTTTAGGGCATTGCTGTGAGACCCCCCCTTGCAGACCCTCATGCGGTTGCGAATCTGCAGCCACGTGGTTTGTAGATTTTGAGGTTTGTGGAAAACCCAACACATGGTGTAGCTGCACAGTGAAATGCCAAAGAATCCTACAGAAAGCCCCGAAATCGAAAGTTGGAACCCCTGGATCAAAAACATAGAAAGTGTTTGCGACTTTAAGTTTAGGGTTTGGGCAGCCTCGCTAAACCCTCTCCGGAGTGCCTCGATAGCCTCAGTCATTGCGTGGCGCTCTGCGGCATCGGCGCACAGCACCACGAAGTCGGCCTCCAGGAGAGTTTAGGGTTTAGGGTTCTGGGTTTCGGGTTTAGTACAGGGGCCTTAAGAATCAGAACAGGATTTTGTGGGATGTATGAGGCATAGTTATAGTTGCGCTATAAGCGGACATTCTGGCTGCATGGGGGGCTCTGCAGCTGGGCCGCGAGACTTGGGCTTAGCTTCTGTGCGCAAAAGCCTCCATGGGCTGCCCAAACAGCCCGAGTGAGATAATGACTCTTGACAGATCGTACATGTACATACATATATATATATATACATATACACACATATATATATATATGTATGAAACAGAGAGAGAGAGAGAGAGAGAGAGAGAGACCGCGAGATGTCTGTTTGCGTGCATATAATATCTATATATCTATGTATATCTATATATTTATATATCTATATATCTATATATCTATATATCTATATATCTATATATCTGTATATCTATATATCTGTATATACATATATACATATATATGTACGCATGTATGTCTGTATGGCATGCATGCATGCATGCAGGCAGGCACGCACGCACACACGCCCGCCCGCCCGCACGCACGCACGCACGCATGCGTGGATGTATGTCTGTATGCGGCTATGTGTCATGAAATAGTTTTTTATCTACATATATATGCATATATATATATGTACATACACGTTCATATATATATATATGTATGCATGACAAGGTGTGTATGTGTAGAGCTCTCTCTCTCTCTCTCTCACTCTCTCTTTCCCTCCCTCTCGGCTTGGCTCAGCGCAATGAATCTTTCACTCTCCAAATCTCCTGGCTCTGCCCACTGTTCTTTGTTAAGAACTTACACTGTATGAGCAATATAATAGCGACGGGCTTAGGGGTTTCGGGGCTATATTTAACAATGTTTACAAGTGTAGGTATCCGCAAACGAGAATTATACTGGGTATTAATTAATATGACTGTTACTATCATTGCAGTACTTATCCATGCTGGATTTGACTTTGTGATGTTCCGGCGCGACTCCGGAAACCGTGCGGCAACGTACCGAACAACGGTTCTTTGGAGTTTAGGGTTTAGGGTTTGGGGTTCAGTCACCCATCACTGGAAAGTCGGAAATGCCGACCCGGAATCTCACGATGCGACTGCGCCGGGGAATGGGGAGGTTTTTGAATTCCGGAGGTTCTTGAAATAGGAGTCGCGGGATTCATAATCTAAATATCCCACTATTTAGCCTGTACAGTAGCGATTCCTTCTTGTTTGAAAACCCCAATACCAGCCCGCAATAGACCTCAAAACCCCACTCTCACCAGAAGTGCTACCCGGTACCCGACAGTCCATGCGTCCATAAAAGCCCCAGGCATTCACGACCCCAAATGCCCTCAAGCGGAGACGCTGAATCATCGCAAGGTGGCTTTCTGAAAAGGATCTACATAAGCCTGGCCAGGTATGTTCCGAACCCCCCCCCCCTGTAGAACCTAAATCCTAAACCCTAAGACCTAAACCCTACACTCGGATGAGCTAGAAGTCTAAACTCCTATGATCCCCCTTCATCAGCCCTGAAATACTCCCCTACAATAATCCCCTATATGATCCCGTTTTTAAGGAATTTAACCCTACACCTTAAACCCTAAACCCTACACCCTAAACCACAGCTCAGACAAGAACAAAGCGCCACCTGCAGGCCGCCCGTTTTCGGAGCTCCTCTGAGCCGGCGGCCAGCTTTGGGCCCGCCTCGGGTAAGGCTTAGGGTTGAGGACGTCAGGTTTAGGGTTTAGGGTTGAGGGTTCAAGGCTTCGGAAGGTTTAAGGTTCTGTCCGGAGCTTTCGTTTGCTTGGTCTTTTGCTATGTGTATGTTGCTGTCTTTTTTGCATGGCATACGATGTCTTTTGTCTTCTTGATTAGTTGATGGCTTTTTATGAGTCTGAGATGTTGTCGTTTTCGTTCTGTTGTGCTTGCTGGCGGTGGAGTTTGAGTAGTTGGATACGGGGCTTCGGGCTGTCTTATAGGGCTGGTGGACTCGTTAACATGTCTTTTGAAAGTGCTTGAAGGTGTTTATAAACGCTTCAAGGGGTGTGAGATATTCCCTTGTTCTTGTGAGGGTGGGATTTGAAGGGGTTTGGAGTAGACTTCGATTGCAGCAATTGCAGCGTGGCGTCCGTCTAATAGCTTGGACCGGCAAAAACCCCAAAAGCCTGGATGGCAAGGCAAGGCATGCTGACGGCCATCTTTGTAACCGGAAGTCGCTGACGAAACCATTCCCAACCAGGCACGTCATAGCAGCACTTTTTCAGCAGCTAGTTGCTGTTGCCGCCCGCGCCTGTGCGCTGTGACATCTAGCAGACTGGTCAGTTGCCTTTAGTTGCCGGCCCAAGGACTAATATAGGGGCCTTAATAATTAGAATAGGGTTTGGGGGTATAGTAAACTATAATTAGAATAAGGAACCCCCAAAACCCTATTCTAATTATTAAGGCCCCTACATTATAAAGTAGAGACCTGTCAACGGCGCAGCATGTCCCGCGACTGGGCTTCATCGTCTGACACCAAGCAGTATTGGAGGCCCTGCCTCTCCAAGTGAAACTGAAGACACTCCACTCCATGATGCTTCACTTTGAGCTTCCCATAGATCAAACTGCCTTCATGACACATCCACAAGAAGAATGCTGCGACCACGAAGCCAAGACCGATGCGGAAAGTCCTGGTTTCCATGAGGTACCATGATTGGAGGACCATGGCCGCAATGTAAGAGAGGACCCCCAAACCCATAGCAGTCACCGGGATCCAATTCGTGAAGGCCACAGAAGCCTGAAACTCATGGGCATTTTTCTTGATACGGTGGAAAGCGATGAGGCGAGCCACAGCTGTCATGATGGCCAAGACATTACCTGCAACACCCGTTTGGCACCCGGGCTACTCAAGGACATGTGTTTTATAGACCACTTCAGGCATGCATGGTTTCGACCCTGCCACACGTCTGGGAAGGGGAGCCCGATTTCCACCTTTAAACCCAAACTACACATTGACATGGTACGGTGGGGAGCACACCTTAACAAGCACAAGTCCCGCAGGCAAATCCACATTCAAAGGCTTGAAATAAGACCCCATATGTGAGCTGTCCGTGGTAAAACAACACAAAAGCTTGCATCAGTCCTGCCGGGGCGCATGTAAGGCTAAAGGATATAAACAGCTGGTACATCTCGAACTTGGGATAGCAATCCGACCCTTCGTGATACCATCCTTGCTCACAGGGATCCCCGTAGTTTTTGAGATCGTACGAATCCGACAGGCTTGTGGCCAGGACAGACAGCATGAGGGCGGAAACAAGGCCCACCGTCGAGTTGATGTTGAACTCATCTTCGACAATTTGATCCTCCACGGCTTTCCGGCGCAAGGTCCGCTCGGACTCCTCGGATTCATCCCCAGGGTCAGTCATCGCCGAGACAGTAGAGCAGCTTTTTGGCAACAGCGGTCAACTCGGGCCAAAAGCTAAGCAGACGTTGAGCAGAAAAATCTGCAGAACTTCACCCCAAAGAGCCAGCAATCTCAACTTGCAAGAGCAGTAGCAATCGTAAGAAACAGGCATGGAAACCTTGCAACTGCTCGGCCTCAAGCGTTTCTCATCAGGCATCAGACAACCCTTACCGCAAAGAGACATGACCCTAAACCTCCACTTTTTCTGAAAAAGCCACACCCCAAGCCCGGAAAGCTACCGGCCGGCAAAGGGATCCATAGTTTGCACGGCTTGTAGGGTCTACTGCCGGCAAGTGTTTGAGGTTGGGGGGGGGGGGGGGGGGGG